AAGAGGCATCACGGATGATGGCAAGGTTTGAACAACTGGCAGGCTGCCGGGGCCATTACCTGTGACCAATGAGGGGCAGACTGGGACGAAGGGAAGCTCAGATTTGCTGGGCTGATTTAGGGATGCCTGTCCGTGGAGACGTCAGGTGGGCAGCTGGATCAGTGCCTCTGGAGGAAGGTCTGGGCCATAGGTGCCAGGAGCAGGGCGTGGTCACAGACATTGGTGTTGAAGCCATAAGACTAGCGACAGCTCCAAGGAGCAGGGCAGAGGGAAAGTGTGAGACTGGGCCCTGTGGCTCTGCAGCATCGCCAGTCCAGTAGGTGAGAAGGAGCCAGCCCAGGACACGGAGAGGAGCAGGGTGGCGTCCTAAGGGCCCAGGGAAGAAAGTTGTCAAGCCGAAACTGGTTTGGCTCAGTGGATAGAGCGTGTGGACTGAAAGATCCCAGGTTCGATTCCGGTCAAGGGCATGTATCTTGGTTGCGGGTATATCCCCAATGGGGGGTGTGCAGGAGGCAGCTGATCAATGATTCTCTCTCATCGATGTTTCTCTCTATCCCTCTCTCTTCCTCTCTGTAAAAAAAAAAAAAAAGTCAATAAAACATATTTTAAAAAAAAGTTATCAAGGGGAAGGAGGAGTGAGCAGATGCTGGGGTGAGGTGGGGGCTGCCCACCAGGCTTAGCTACGCAGAAGTCACCGGTGGCCACAAGGAGGACCTCTTGTGGGCAGGGAAGGTCAGAGCTGATAGGAGCTGTCTAGGAGGGAGCAGGCGGCTACCCTGTCCATCAGGGAGTTTTTCTAGAAAAATAAATAAATAAAGCCTGACCAAGAGAGGACTTTTCTTATCTTTTCTCTCTCTCTCTCTCTCTCTCTCTCTCTCTCTCTCTCTCTCTCTCTCTCTCTCATTTATTTATTTATTTTTATGACGGGAGGATCAACAATGTGCTTGCACCGTGGTGTACATCAGGAGTCCTTCACGAAGGATCGCTTAATCCCACTCGGAGCCTGTTTTCGTGCACACATGTTTATGGGTGCACGGCCTTGCTTGCGTTGCTTCTGAGCTGTCCTTAGCTGCTTTTTGCCTACACAGAGAGCTGAGTGGTTGTGACTGACGGAGACTGTGTGGCTCACAGGGCCTGACACAGTCACTCGCTGGCCCCCTGCAGCAAACGTTTGCTGACGAGTGGTGTAAGGGGTCCAGCCCCAGGGAGGCCACAGATGGGCGGTGGGAGGGAGACTTGCTGCTGAGCTGCCCTGGAGCAGGCGGAGGGGGAGGACGTGCTGAGCAGGTCGGGGGTGGCCTTACTGGGAGTACAGGCGGACAGGCAGGAGGAAAGAAAGGGGTGCGCCCGCACAGGCACGGATGGGCGGGTGTGTGTGATGGTGGGACCTCTGGGAGGCCTCTTCCGGAAGCTTCTGCTTCCTCCAGGTGACTGCGTGGTGGGTTTGGGGAGAGAAGGTGTGAGGACGACGAGGACAGGAAGATCAGGAACTAGGGCATCACAGCAGGTGTGCTGGGCTTTGCTCTGAGATAATGGTCCTGATTAAAGTGAGGCCCGTTGCCGAAACCGGTTTGGCTCAGTGGTAGAGCGTCGGCCTGCGGATTGAAAGGTCCCAGGTTCGATACTGGTCAAGGGCATGTACACTGGTTGCGGGCACATCCCCGGTAGGGGATGTGCAGGAGGCAGCTGGTCGATGTTTCTAGCTCTCTATCCCTCTCCCTTTCTCTCTGTAAAAAAATCAATAAAATATATTTAAAAATAAAAAATAAGGTGAAGCCGGTCACCACAGTCAGTGGTCACGGTCAGTGGTTGTGCACTCTCCTGGCTCCCTTCTGCTGCGTGGGTACCAGCATCGGTGTGTGGGAACATCCAGTCCGCCAGGTTTGTGGCTCAGCCAGGAGCATGTGCTAAAGGGAAGGGTGTCCTGGCAGCCCGGGCCGTAGGCAGGAGAGGGGTTGTAATCACTGACCCCGAGCAAGGAGGGACGTGAAATGTGGTGGGTGAAGGAGGCGAAGAGGTGCCCGCAGGCGGGAGGGAGCCCGGGTTGAGGCGCTGGAAGGAGTGAGCTGCAGAGGGTCAGAGGGCGGATGTGAAGCCCAGGCTCTGGGAGGGGTGTGGCGATGCTGGGATTTAATACTTTTCAAAAACAAACACCGCGCAGGCCAAGAAAACCCACCCACACCCTGACTGCGGCCAGTTTCCCATCGCTGTCAGATGTGTCCTTCCCCTCTTTTTTCTGAGATATTTTTATTTTATTTTATTTCAGAGAGGAAGGGAGAGGGAGAAAGAGAAACATCAATGAGGAGGGAGAATCACTGACTGGCTGCTGCCTGCACACTCCGCACTGGGGATCGAGCCCACAACCCGGGCACATGCCCTGACCGGGAATGGAACCGTGACCTCCTGGTTCATAGGTCAATGTTCAACCACTGAGCCATGCCGGTTGGGCTGTCTCCTTCCTTCTTGATGGTGAAACTGGGTCCCAATCCGCCTTTCTAGCCCAGGCCCCTCTCCCAAGCTCCAGAACCACACGCCCCTGCCACCTGGACTCCTCCACAGGCAGCCCTCCACTCAGCTGGTCATCTTCCCACAAGCCGGCTTTTGCCCCTGTCCTGTCCCCATGGAGTCATCTAGGGGGCCATGACAAAGCCTGGTCCTACCCTCTCCCCCACCAGGTCCATTCTGTGCCCTGTGCATTCTTCCCCCTGCCCATCCTTCCCCTTCTCTCCATCCTGCCCTGCCACACCGCAGACCCTGGTGTCTCTCGGTCGCACGATGACTGTGACAGCCTCCAGAGAGGACCCTCAGCCTCCAGGCTTCAGTCCGGCTCCAGCTCCAGGGCCCAGCCTGCGCTTGGCCTCTTGCTGCTGTTGAGTGAGTGACAGCCCTAGTGGTTGCAACCTGCAGCCGGAACGCTGCACACTCCGCTGGCTTTGGCTTGTCAGACACTGAATGGCCTTGTCACTTAGCATACTTCTGTCACACACCTACTGTGCGCCAAGAGCTGCCACCAATAAGTCTCCAGGAGCCCAGGGTCATTGGTGGGAAGGGAAGTCGATAGGTGCGGTCCCGATGGGACGGGCATTGGTGAGCTGGGCTCAGGGCTGGGCATCGCGGGGCCTTTCACCAGACTCTGTCCTGGGAGGGCACTTGCTTGCCCAGTGGCCACTCTGTGCCCACCTGTGGCCGAGCCTCACCATCCAGCCACAACATTTGTGCACAGTCTCCCTTTCTGAGGGAGGGGCTCCCCTATGAGACTTCCTCCCTCCCTCCCCTTCCTGTCTCTCTCCCCCCTCCCTCCTCCCTCGGCGTCCTCACCCTGCCTGCCTCTGTGCTCCCTCTCCCGGGCGTTGGTGCGCACCTTTCTCCAACAGTGTAGCGTGGGCTTTTGCACCAGAAAGCCTGAGTTTTTGCCCCAGATCCATCACGTACGAGCTGTGTGACCTTCAACAAGTCACTCAGCCTCTCTGAGCCTCCATTTCCTTAAGGGAAGAATGAGTTCTCTGTTAAATTTGTTAGATTGGGAAACATAGATGTGATTCTCTGTATAAAGCACCCAGCTCAGTGCCAATAAATCGGGGCTGAGCAGACATGAGTTTGCCGTGAATCACCACGGAGCTTTCCCGACCTTCCCTCTCCACCGCCAACCAGAGGGGACGCCTCATCCCACTCCACCTCCCACTCGATCTCTCTTTACCTCCCTCCTGGCCACCCCGAGGGGCAGGCTGCACAGTAGTTGAGGGCTGGAGAGCTGCTGGGGGCAGCCAGCTGGCACCCTCCCTGGTCCACATGTCGGACGACTGGACGCTGTCAATCAGAGCCAGTCATCGTGTAGGCCCCATGTGGCCAGACCTTCCAGCTTTTCCAGAGAAATTGGAAATGCAGATGTGCATGTAATATCAACCTCTTCAAAATATTGGCAACAAACTCAACGAAAAAAATATCTGTGGGAACCAATTAAAATACATCTAAGGGCCAATTTGGCTCCGGGGCTACCAGCTTCTAACTGCTGCACTAGCTTCGGAGAGTGTGGGTTCAAATCCCAGCCCTGCTCCTCCCCTGGCCTTGGCCAGGTCACAGCCTGCCGTCTGTGCGTCAGGCTACTCGCCCATAACATGAGTGCAACAATAGCTGACACCTATTGAGGGCTTTTCTTCCTATCCGTCAGCCTTTCCTATCCTCTCAGAAACCTGGTGAGGTGGGGACTGTTAGCAGCTCCTGGCCCGAGGGCTGTGCATGGACCAGGCAGTCTGGCACGGAGGCTCATGCCTGTTAACCTCTGTGCGTGCAGCCCCGCCCGGGGTGTTGTGAGGGCTGAGGCGCTCGGTGCACCACGCTGACAGTGTGAGCACCCCAGGCACTCGTGCTCCTGGGCGTGTGTGTGTGTGTGTGTGTGTGTGTCCGTTTCCGTTTACAACCGGGGGAACGGCAGCTCCTTGTGGGCAGGAGGTGCCCCACTCTACTTGTCGACACCTCTTTGGGGCCATTGGGACCGTGATCCAGATTAGCTCAGTGATTTGCAAGCTGGCGAGGGAGAAGTTTGATGATGGGCAGAGGACCTGCCCAGTCCCCAACCCCCCACTCCTGCCCGGGCCTAGCTTGAGAGGGTCACAGAAAGAACAAGCCACTGTCCCTGCCCCGGATCCGACAGGAGCCCAGACTAGCCGGGAAGCACACAGCAGAGAGCCGAGAGAAGTAGGCCCTGTGCCCGGGAGGGAGCGGTGCAGGGAGGCCACAGCTGGTTGACAGGGTCCTGTGATCGGGTTAATTTCTTTAAGAGCACTTTAAGATCAGACACCGAAATTAGCTAGACGGGACCTTCCGTCTGCTTCTTATTACCCAGACGTCCGGTGGCCAGTCTTTGATCCAGGAACAGCCCTCCTGCCAGCCCCCAGGGGCCCCTCTCCTACCCCCCTCCCCTCCGCGCCAGCCCACAGATGACTCCCAGGGCTTGGCCTTCAGGACTCCCAGTGACTCCTCTCCTCTGTCTTCTCGTGCAGAAATGGAAGCTGCACTCCCGGAGGCGCCGAGAAGCCCCGAAGACGTCTCCAGGGTGTCACTGCCCTCCAGGTAAGGAGCCTGCGACCGGCGGCGAGGACGGGGACACACAGCAGAGGCCCCCTCCATGGCTGTGCTCTGGCCTCACCCTGCTCGGGGCATCACTTTTGTTTGAATATCTGTGGTATTGCCTTTCCTCTACTCATTGATCTGCTCACCCATCCCCTATCCATTCATTCATTCATTCATTCATTCATGAACGCTTCTATGGGCCTTCGCTATAGGCACCAAGTTGTGAAATCAGACAAGATAATGGGCATGACTGCATTTAGCAAACTCTGAAGGGTCATGCAGCATTGAAGAGAAGCCCGAGAGGGCAGGGACCAGCCTCATCATGGTCGCTATTACGCCTCCAACTCCTGACACACAGTAGGCGTGTTTGTTACTGGAATGAGTGAAATGTCCCGATTGTAAGACTCCCCTGGCCTCGAGCGCAGGCTTAGGGTGCTTCGTGCTGTGTGGTGTGGAGACGACCTGCACAAATGCACCCGTGCACACTGCTCAAGGTCCAGGTGATACGGCACAACTGAGTTAACCAGGCCAGTCTGGATTCAGATTCTGCTCCTGCATGTACCAGCCCTATGTGGGCGGGTCACCTCCGAGCGAGGGCACCTCTGCCGGGGCGTGTTCCTCTGCACAGAGCGACCCGCTCCTCGCCGCCCCTGTTCACCTGTCGCAGCGATGTACCGAGTCCCTGCTCTGTGCCGAGCACCGCGCTGTGTGTTGGGTTCTGTTCCACTGCAAACTGTTCATCATAACGATGGTCAGCAACCTAGAAAAGTCAATGGACTTTTCTAGGTTGCTGACCATTGTTATTAAGCCGTGAGAATGACAGACGAGCAAGTTTCATTGTTCCCATGGTAACTGGGATGGGCTGTACTTTTGGGGGGCGGGGGGGAGGGGAGAAAGAAAGTTCCAAAAAAGAGTTGGGGGGGGGGGGGAAATAATCACGTCATCACAGGGGCTTTCCAGATTGGCTCAGTGATTTGCAAGCTGGTGAAGACGGGTGTGATGGAGGGCAGAAGACCCGCACAGCCCCCAACCCACCACTCCATTCTGGGCTTCTGCCAGCTCAGAGGGTGGCCCCTCGACACCACCGTGGGCAGGTGGCACTGGCAGGACTCTAACTCAGCTCTCTGGCAGGCCCTCCATGGACAGAGGGGCCGAGGAGCCCCAGGGGCCCTCAGCTGTGGTCCCCAAGCCCGGGGAGAGCGGCCAGCATGTGTTGAGCATGTGGGAAGTGAAGGGACAGCGTTTGCCGGAGCATGAGTAGGCCGAGGTGGGAGTCCCCGTGCAGGGGGGCTGCCGCAGGAGATGGTGGCATCGTGATGCGATTCAGCTGGCCGCCGGCAGAGGAGGGTCATCGGGGTTAATTAAAAGGGTGTCCAGAAGCCCTGGGAAGCTCCCTCCCTCCCTCGGGGCCCAGGAGAGTGAGCCCTGGGACCTGGGAAAGCTTTGGGGAGACGAATGCCGAGATTAATGAGATGAGATGAGGCAAGGCTGGGGCGACAGGCCGGGTAGAGCGGCTGTGGGTAGCCCACGTTTTAAATCTGCGTGTCTGTCGTCTTTGTAACTCTGGTCCATGGCAGTTGGTCTTTTGCTCAGAGTACGGGATGTTGGGGAGGGGCAGGAGATTTGGAGCCATGAGGATGCGAGTTTGCATTTCAGCTCTACGTTCATCAGCTGTGTGGCTTTCAGGGAATGGTTTACCCAATCTCTGCTTTGGTTGGCTCCCGTGGAAAACGGGGATGAAACCCATCTTGCAGGTATATGGTGTCGATTCAGAGAGATAATGGTGGGACGTATTTAGCACCTCTCCCGACTCCTACTAAGCACAATTATTGTCCCCCTCAATCCCTTTTGCACTTAAAAGATGCTCAGAAACCCCTATGAAGCACCATATCCTGATGCTGGGGCAAGGTGGGCTGCACATCTGTGGCAAGACAGAGGCTCACCCTTCTCTGCTCCCCGCCTGATTGGGCTTCCTATGCCCTGCCCATGTCCGGAAGGGTGCCTAACCGACAAACACCCATCTTGTGCTTGGGAGAGGCTGGCTCTGGTGGGCTTGGGAGGCTGGAAGCTGGGGACGATGTGGTAGGAGGGGGAAGGATTTGGAAGAAGAGAGTTTGTGTGAGACCCTGAGCTCTTGGGTGGGAAGGAGAAAGCCGCGAGGCAGCAGGGGCAGCTCAGAGGTGGTGGGGAGGAGGGTGGAGGGACACAGCGGTAGGGGGAGGAGGGGCAGGAGGAGGGAGGGCTTGATGCAGGTTCTCTGTGGGAGGGGCCACCAGCAGGGAATAGGTGGCCAGGAGCTGGAGGAGAGAGAGCAGGGGGTTCCGGAAGGGGTGTCCAGGGTGTTGGAGAATTCCCCAGAGGACATTTTGGCCTGAAGTACAGACCAGAGCCAGGCAGTTAACACCCAGGGCATTTAAGACGAGGCCCCACATTGAGGCAAAAGAGGAAGGAGTGAAGTTCCGAAAGGGCCGAACAGGCGCGCAGACCATAGAGCCCGGATTGAGTGCATCTGCCATGATGGGCTCCGTCCTGCGTCCCTGCCCTGCCCCCTCTGCCCAGCCCGGGGCTTCTCACCCACTGAAGCCTACGGGCACATGGCTGCCAACCTGCTATGAGAAACAGCAGTTGCCACTGCCCCTAATGGAGCACCGTTTGTGTGCTGGGCACAGTACCGGCCACTTCTCCAAACTGGCAGAGCGGAGTTCTGACATCCTGAGATGTTTGCAAATCACCACTCTCGCTCTTGCACCTCAAGCCTGCCCCTCCGAGTATCTCCTCAGTCAGGGGTCAGAGTGTAACCACAGTAGAGCACCCGATACTTACAGAAGGACGTAGGCAACTGTAAGTGCCACCGTCAGAGTCAAAGCGTCCTTCCTTTTGTCTTGCCAGCATCTCACAGTGTGCCCCATGCCTAGCAGATGCTCAAGGAATGTTCCCTAACCGATCGAGACCCACCCCTGGGTGACTGGACTCTTTCTTGTGTTCTCCACCTCCCCTCCAGTTGGTTTTGATGCCTCACCCACTGGGAGACGGCTCTGAGTCTTGCCGGAGGCAGAAATCGCAGCTGTTGGGACACAGCAAATAAACACACACTCTTCCTGCCCACTGCGGCCGCTCAGATTGGAGCCGGGAGCCCCAAGCCCATGCCTGCCCAGTCTGCCTCTGGGACCCGCCGGGCTGGGGTGGGAGTCTGTGGTGGGTGTGTTCTCCCTTGTGGCCGCCTTGGGCCCTGGGTGGCATCCAAAGGGCTCGGGACACATAATCGCGGGCAGAAAACCCACCTCCTTCCCTTCCTACTCCGACCTTGCCAGCATCCTCCCAGGATCCTCCCTGTCCCAAAATAGCCCCGCACTGGCTGAAATCTGGCTGTGTCCTGCTTCTGGCTGCAGCACTGCTCCAGGGGATGATGGGCCTGGCGGCCTGGAGGCCTGGCGGCCGGGACGGAATGCCAAAGGTCGGGCCGCGTTAAGAGGGTCACCGCTGCCAGAGTTCAGAGGAAGAGGTGTGTGCCGTTTGCAAAGCTTGTGGCCTGGCGGGCAGAGGGCGTTGGGAACAGATACACAGACCGTGGGACTTCCTAGCCACTTGAAAGGAACACAAAGATCAGGGAAATGCTCCGTTCTCTCTCCCCGTTCTCAGTAACAGAGGAGGAGCAGGACAATGTAGGCCCCAGGCAGCCAGGAAGCGGCCACTTCAGGGCCGCCAGGCTGGGGCTGGGAGGGGCCGGCGGTGTGAGGGATGCTACGCGGTGCACAGGGAGGGAGCCAGGACCAGCCAAGGGTGGGAGCGGGTCCCTCCACTGTCTGGGCTTCATCCTAAGGGGAGGACTAGGTCAGTGTCATGCACTGACCACCAGGCCAAGAGGTTGGACAACCATAGTGGGGGAGGGATGACCTGATCAGGCCTGTGTGGAGTGCCTTTGCCAGGCTGGTGGGAGAGACCACGGCCATGATTTAGGGTATGCTAATGGGGGCATGCTAATGAGGGGTATGCTAATGAGAGGTGGTTGGCCCTCTGGGAAAATGTCCCTGAGGAGGTGGCCCTAGAGGCTGGAGAAAAGGAACAGGGAAGCAGGTGGGGGCATAAACGCAGCTGCCGCCGCCATAACTCTAGACCCCAAATACAGGACTCCGACCAGGGAGGAGGGAGGTCCCTTCCTTGCAGTCCAGGGAAGGGGGAGGGGAGGGTGTGGCCCTGCCAGTGTCGCCAGGTGGCTCCTGTCTCTGGGCTCTTGTCTCTGCTTCATTCTCACAGTCCCCCTGGCCAGCATGGAAGAGTGGGGGTTGGGGGAAGCAGGAGAAGTGATGCCCAAACCCTGAGAGCAAAACTTGAAGGAAAACAGCCTGTCGCGCATCATTTCTGCTCTTATCCCACGGCCAGCACTTAGTCTCATGGTCCCCCACCTCCCACCTCCCCCCACTCCCATCCCAGGGAGCCCTGAGGTATTTTGGGCTGGGTGGCCCCATGTCCAGGTGCAACTTAGTTCCCCTGGGAAGTGGGAGGACAGAGACCTAGGGACGGCTCTCAGCCTGCATAGGGGCCCCTCCCGGTGGGGCACCGGCTAGGACAGGCTCTGGGAGTGAGAAAGGGCAAGTCTCCCTGGGGCGGGCGCGCAGTGAAGGGCACAGAAGCAGTGATGGGAAGTCAGGGTGGGAGAGGCAGCCGAGGGCCGGGCCTAGGAGTTCCGGCTCAGCGCCCTCCATTCACAGGGAGGCAAAGGCTTTCGCCCTGAGCATGCTTGGCTGGGAATGGCTGCCCGGAGGGCTGTGCTGAGTTGGACTCTGAGGCGCAGCCACTGAATGATTTGCTCTGCGAATGCCTAGCCCTGGGCAGCGATGCCTGCGCCCTGGCTTCGTCTCCCCGCAGGCGGGGATGTCGCATCAGAGAAGGTACGGGAACAGGGATAGGACCCGGTCCAATCTGTATTCTAGAGCCAGAACTAGCCGTGATGTGGAGAGTCCCTTTTCAGCAACAAAAACGTCTGTGATTCCATGAACAGG